CAGTGCCCCTTTCACAAGCACCCTTCTGCTTCTCCCCTCTCCCAGGAGAGAATGAGCTCAGTCTCTAGATCCTATCTGTGCTGAAGGTGAATGTGAGGAGAGAGTCCCCTTGGAGACAAGCTTCCCAAGCCTGGAAAAGACCCTACCAAGGTCTAGACCAGGAATAGCAAAATATGGCTCATGTACTGCCTCTCCCTACTCCCTCGCCCACGGCAGACATCACAAATCAATCCCTGCACCCTTTCCCACTAAGTCTAGGTAACCTCAGAATCCTTAACATAGCATCTCAGGATCTGCCCACCAGTCAGTCAGAACTAGCCCCCAGGTGGAAAGCCATGCCTATCCCTGGGCCCAGTCCCGTCCCCTTCCCTCAGGGAAAAGCCCTGCGGGGAGAAGGCAGCAGGGCACAGTGATTGGAAACATGGGCTTTAGAATCAGACAGGACTGAATCAGTTTCTCCACATCCTCTGTGACCTTGGAGAAGTCATCACACCTCTCTGAGCCTCAGATTCTGCCTCAATAAGCTGCAGGTAATAGTCCTCGTCAAAGTGTTGTAAAACCTAAATTATATCATGCCTGGGACAAAAGAGGTGCTCAGTCAATGTTGTCTCTTCCGGAATTTGACCCTTCACACCTGCATCCCCTTCTGAGCCTCACCACTGTTGCTTTGAGCCAATGAGGCATCAATGTCACCCCCAGTGGCAGATGAAAAGGCTGAGGCCCACCAAATGTGACTGCCCCTCGCTAATCAGTGGTGGCGCTGGCCCGGGGGTGGGGTGTGAGCATGCCCAGACCAGGCACCCTCTGGGACCCCTCCATCTGTAGACAACCCCCACCCAACCCCCCACATGCCTACCTCTCTCTTGCTGTCTGGAGGCAAGAGTCCAACTGGCCTCAGTATGGAACGTAAGGCCCAGCGGCCCATTCATTTATTGTCCCACTAGCTTGTCCTATAAAGGTCACTCTACTGTCCTCAGGGGCTTCCAGGCCCCCTCCCACAGTTACAGTTTAATCATAGTCATAAAATAACAGCTCTAGAAAACCCTGGGTGATGTGGTCCAGTCGCCTCCCCATTGTACAGCTGGGAAGACTGAGGCCCAGAGAGGAAAAGGACTTGCCCAGGGCCATGCAGCCAGGGCCAGGGCATTTCCACAAGGCCAAACTCCAGGAGCACACAGGAAGGCAGTGGGTCTCCTTCCGCAGCGCCACGAAGGGCAGGACCAAGCTGCCCTTGGAGACGACTCCTGCACACTAAGTGCACCCTCTCGGTACATGACGCTGTCCACCGCATCTTCATTTGCTCCCACTCTAGCCACCAACAGAGGATATTACCTGGGTACCGGTAGTGCTGCGCGGGGAGCTGAGCCAAGGATGGAAAGGCATGGTGCCTGCCCTCACGGCCTTCCTTGTTCGTTGGGGAGGCTGACCGCAAGCAGATAATAATAGTTGGGGGCAGCCCATGTGACAATGGAGATGGAGTGACTGGTCAGATGAGTGTGTGGGGATCATCTCTAGCTACAGTATAATGACTGGGTGTGAGGACTTCAGGGAGGAGATGGCTGCAGTAATCCTATAACCCGGATTTACTTAGAACGATGTCCGCTGTAAGGAATGGAAGCCCCAGTGGTGGCTGGTTTAAACAACAAAGAAAAGTATTGGGTTCCCTAAGTGGAAGTCCCCAGGACTTTCTCCAGAAGCCCCCAGACGAGGTTCCCTTGCATTTTATTGGCTCCAATTGTCATGATCTCATTCCTGACTTGTCCCCTAGGGAATACCAAGGGCATTTTGCCTGGAATCCTGAACCTGTCTCTGGCAAAGGATGGAAGTGGGCCATGTGATGGGTTGAGGCCAGCCAGACCCCCCTTGGAACTGGAGATCAATTCCTAATGGCGGGGCAGCTACTCAGTGGGAGGAGGTAGGATAGATGCTGGACATAATCATAATGCCCCGCCCAAGGGGAGAGGTGGTGGTATAAGCCGAGGGAACAGAAAGAACTTGAAAAGTTCAAGGGTGCTGCAGAAAGAGCCCTGGACTGGAAGTCAAAACACAAACATTGTTGCTTCTGTTCATCCTTGTGAACTTCCCTTGGACTCGGCACTTTTTAATCTGCAAAGTGGGTGCCCTTCCACTATCAGGATTTTTGCAAGGATCAAATGAAGGTATTTTCAATATATGGAAACAATGTCTCTGTTTGGAACATTCCAGAAGCTGCCAATTGAGCATGTGTTGATACTAAAGAGATGAGTGCAGGCACATGTCCCGGATAGAGCCTTGTTTTAAGTCCTTGCATTTTTCAGCGAGGTCGCAGGTCCTGGGGCAGCAGTGGGTCTAGGAAAAGCAACTCCTACAGGCCTCAGGCCTCAGCTAAAGATTCAGAGACCGCAGCTGTCTGGGCACTCCATCCTCAGCCCCACTCAGCAACCAGTGTCTCTCCCCAAGGAAGGGGACAAGCCCCACAAGTTTCCATAGAATGTTCCTACACAAGCTCAACACCTCAGGCCATGATCTTAATTCTACCCTTAGAGAGACTGATACTAAAAAAAGATATTAAGACCCTGATACTAAAACTACATATATATTACTGATAACAGCTCAGGTGCATTACAGCTTTTGCACGAATTGTCTGATTGAATCTTCCAGCAGCTCTTGGAGGTGGGTACTTTTATTACCCAGTCAGACACACAGAGAGATGAAACAAGATTCTCAGGGCCACCCAGCTGGAAAATGGTAGAGCTGAGATTTGAAGCGGGCAGCCTAAGGAGACTGGCCTCTTAGCCAGTGGACTTCAGTGCCGGTGCTGACGGTGAGCTCTTGAGCAGGCGGAAGTGTTCAAATCCCACCTCGGACCCCTATCCGGGCAACTGGCTTAACCTCCCTGAGCCTCAGTCTCCTCTTCAGACAGAATAACAATTTCACCTTCCACACTAGGATGAGGTGAGGTGCCTGGCACACAGTAGGTGCTCAGGGAATGGTGGGTGAAACAGTTACTGCTGCTCTAGAAACTGAAGCTGGAGCTTCAGCAGACAGGGCGCAGGCTGTGTCCTCGAATCCACAGTGTAACTTTGAAGGCTTGGACACTTAGCATTCTCTAAAACGTATCTCCAAACTCATCACCACCCAGGCTTTTCACATCCCTGAATGAATCCTGTATTCTGACTGTTGATGTTTGCCAAGACGTTGATCACTTTGCATTCATCTTCATTAGAAGAAATTTTCCTTGCCTGAAACAAAAGGGGGAAAATATGGGCGGTGTGGGTAAATTTGATACATGGCCTGAAAGGGAGTGTTTGTTCTCATGGAGCCCAGAAGGCACACACCTGGCTGGGTCCTACTGGCTCCCCAAACAATTACCTTTGCCGACGATGGATGGTTCCTGCTCGCCCGTGCCCAGCTCAGCAAGGCCTGAGGACCTCGTTAGGAGACCCTCCCTGCCCATGCCTTGCCACGGACTCACTCTGCCCACCCCTCAGACTGCTTCTCTGAGGGGAACTGGGCCCAACCACCCCGCTCCTCAGAGCCATGGGGAGTCTACAGCTGGGCTCTCAAAGGGCCTGTAACGGGAGGCTCGGGGACAAGAGGAGGAGGTCGCCAGGAGCCCAGAGACAGCCCCTCCTCACCCAACAGAAGCAGAGCTCTGCTCCTGCTAGCAGCCTCTTCACAGAGCCCTGGCTCCCAGGATCGCTGCAGCCTCTCGGCCTTTTCCCACAACCGGGGCCCCGCTGGAGTGCTCTTCCAACTCCCACTCACAGTCCAGCCCGTCTCTCAGTTCCAGGCCCAGCACCTGCCCGCCTGCTCTTGTAAGTGCTCTTGGACCAGGTATGCATTGAGTTCTGACTGCACACCTGACAGATATTCCATCACAACGTGTGAGGGAAAAGGTGGAGAAGGAAGGATTCTCCTACTGAGGCCCCACCCTTGCCAGCCACCGGTGCTAGGTGCTGTCACATCCAGCCCTCCAGCCCTCAACACTCCAACAACAAAAGGCTGCCATGCCCAAGCCCTGGATGAGCAACACTCGTGGATGAGCTGCTCTGCCCCTCTGGGCCTCAGCGCATGTCCTCAGGCCTCCGCCCTGCCTGACACTCCACCTACTTTTCTCATATAAAGCTCATGAATGCCCTATCACAGGCTACTGTCCTCATCCCCATTTTATAGACCAGGACACTGGGGCTCAGAGGTCACCAGCAAGGAAGTGGCAAGGCCAAGGGGTTGCATTGACATCTGCTCAGCCAGATGACACTTACTCAGGCCAGGCACCTTGCATCCTAATCTCGAATCTTCCTACCACCCTGCAACCCCCATTACACAGAGGAAGAAACTGAGACCCACGCTTCAGGCTGAGGGTTCTTTGGAAAGTGCGAGGGCCAAGGAAGAAGAGGCCTGAGGTCAAGTGGGAGCGCGGGTATTCACTCACTGGGCAACGCCCAAGCCTCAGTTTCTCATCTGTAAAATAGAAATGAAAATAGGACCAACTTTGGTTTGGTATTATTGGTGTAAGGATTAAGTGAGAAATTACCTGAAATGCCTCAGACACATTCCTTCCTCTCTGGTTCCCAGTTTCCCCATCTGGGACCGGAGGGGTTGAGCTAAATGATTCCCAATGTCCCTCCCAACCATGATAAAAACGACAAACGCCAATTATCTTTCGAGAGGAGGTGGACCCCTTTCCAGAACTTTCATCCGGAGCCCAGAGGTGAAGTTCAGGGCTCTGACCTTATCACTTTGTCCTTAGCAGGACGCAGTGCAAAACGAAAATACGGGGCCCATGTTCAGAAATTATAATGAATCCTAAGACAGTGACAGCAGAATATTAATCTAAACACAGGATCTTTCTGAGCTCATTTGCAACTACACAGGTCACATGCCCAGGAAGCCAGCCTTGGTCATTCGTGCCAGCCAGGTGACATCCGTGTGTGGAGGGCCACATTCCTGGGGGTTCTAGGACTAGGCACAAGCATACATGCTGGCATTGTGAGCACAGCTGTCCAAACCCTGGACCTTGTCATTCAGTCCAAAGCTCCCTTCCCCTTTTACTCCATCTGTTCAGTCCCTGGATCTGAAAGCTCCTGAATGCTTTCCTCCCTGCCTGAGCATATCTGAGCAAATCGGTAAACACACCATCCTTCCCTTCACTGGGAACTGTCCTCCCCACATCACCCGCCCCACCCTCAGGATGGCCTGGCCTGAAACCCTTGGAAAAGTTGGAGCCGAAACTGCTTCCCTGGGTTTCCCCAGGGACAGTGGGTGGGGTGGGGGAGTTGTGAGGGGTGTACTGGAAGCAGATGAAAGGAGCATTTGAAAGCTGGCAAAGTGACCTTTGTAAGCAGGAAAAAGGCAGTTTTCCTGTACCCCAAGGCCACCCAATGGGGTTTTCACCCTCCTCTGCCCTTGGCTTCCCCAGGCTGAGTTCAGGGGTTGAATGCCCAGGTCTGCCTCGAACAGCTGTGCGGGTTGGGCACTGCACAAAGGCAGTGAGTGGATGGGTTAAAGCAGGAGTGTAAATCTAGTCTGCCCTCTACCAGTGGAGCCTTGTACCAGGCACCGGCCAGGTCTGCCCAGAGGAAGGAATACTTCTTTGGAAGTATCCAATGACATCCCTTACAGCTCTGCCATCACCTCTTCCAAGATGAAAGCTTTTCCTGTCCATCCTTATGGCTGGAAGCCCAGCTTGGAAGAAAAAGAAAGAAATCAAAGGAGAAAAAGGAAGAAAGATGCCAGTTTAGTGGACACTTCTAGGAAGACTTCCCTGAGTGGGTCTCAAATATCTACACAGGGTGAGGGGTTTAGTAAGGGTGGAGAGGGGACAAACTTGTCTCAGAGCTGCATTTGCATTACTAGGTCTCAGGTTTTCCTAAACCTGGAGGATTGTCAAGGATAGCTGGGAAGGGGCCAGAGAGATTAGGGGGTAAAGCTCCCTTAGGGACCCCATGGCACCACCACTCCCCCCGAGTTCCCTAGACTAGGGCAAATCCCATTATGCTGTCAATCTCTCCACCCCACCGGCCACAGTTGTAATTTCATATTTAATTTTGTGATTTATCCATGAAGGAAGAGAGACTGTTTTATTTTTGGCTCACCATTGTATCCCCGGTACCTACCCCATAATAGGTGCTCAATACATTGAGGAAGGAAGAGAAAAAGAGAGGGAGGCTAAGTTCCCATGAAAGTAACTCAAGGGTGGGGTTGAAGGCCAAGTTCATGAAAGGATCTACACACAACCTCAGGCAGATGGGAAGGATGTCCTTTCTCCAACATGTCCCCTCCTTTCCTTCCAATAGCTTTAAGTCTCTGACCCAAATTCCCACATTGCCCACTCTACCTCCACCTGCCCACCATACACACACACACACACACACACACACACACAGACTTTCCACCTGCATAACTTCTGGGCCAAATGCAAAATCCTCATTGATTGTTCACCATTCATTCCACAAACATTGACTGGGCACCTACTAAACCATAAACTACCAGGGCCCCAGGCACCAGAGACAGACCAGTGGACATGGCTCAGGTCCTGTCCTCAGGGTGCTCAGCCCAATAGGAGAGAAAAAAGTCGCCAGAGATGACAGGGCAGGTGCTGGGTGCTCTGAGGAGGGAAACACAGAGGACCCAGGGCACAGAAGGGGGATCACAAAGGGAGAGGACCAGTCAGGGAAGCTCCTGGATGCCCAAGCTGCAATCTGAAAAATGAAGAAGAGTTAACCAGGTCAGGGGGCTGGGAGAAGTTTCCAGGGGCACAACAGCACCTGCCAAGGCCCGGAGGTCTGAGGGGCATGGCACATCCAGGAACTGAAAGAGCCCCTTGGTTTGCCAGGTCCTCTTCCTGAGCCTCCTGGGCCTCCTAATTTCTGGTTCTGGGGTTTGGACCGCCACACGGCTGGTTCAGGTGGGGCCTTAGCTCCCCACTCCCCCACTTCCCCTACATTCTCTCCACCTCCCCCCCAAAACCCAACTATGTATCTGCCTCAGATTCTCTGAGCAAGAAAATTTTTTTCCTCTCCTTTTTTTTGCTCAGTTATTCAAAATAGAGCTGAGAGAAAAATGAAAGAGAAAAAGAGGCAGAGGGTGAAAGAGACAGAGGCAGACAAAGACACAAAGAGAAAGTCCCCTGGGGGCAGAATGAGGAAACCACAAGCCTGGCCTCCCGACCTCAGCCCTGTCTGCCACCCACACCCTCCGGTGCCCACCTGGCCTCTTTTTCACTTCCAAATGTTTTCATGCCTCCAGGGAGGATAAGGGGAGAAGGAGCTAAGATGGCCATCTTTACCCCATCCTCAGGCCCAGGGGCAAATTTCCTTTTCTGGATAGTAGAGGGAAGGCATTTTTTCCATTCTTTTTCCCTGTTTCATGCACCTCCTCTTAGTCATCCCCATCCACTAACATGAAAAAGTCTTTGCCTCAGAGGTCCTGAGTGACCCTGGGTAAGGCCATTTCGTTCCCTAGGCTCCAAGTTTTCACCCCCTGTCAAATCAAATTTGATAGCTGTGCTACCCACTAGTTAAGGGGTAAATGAGGCAGGAGAGAAGAAAGGAGAGTGGGGAACCATCACCCCCCACACACACACAGGATGTAGAGCCAAGGCCCCAAGCATGTGATGTCATTAGCCCCTCTGAGCTGCCTGGCCTGGTTGTTTTCCCCATTGTATGGCCGTGAAGGGTCTGATGAGATCACTGAGCTAATCCAAGGTGACCTTCAGATTCCCGCCATCTGTACCAAAGCTAGGGGTTTGCAGGGACCTTGCACAGTGCAGCCCCACATTGGCCTATACCCACAAGATGGACTGAAACCATTCCAATGGCTCAGAAGCTTAAGCAATCACAATTCCACTCAGGCCTCCATCCTTCCCATCTGTACAATGGGTACTTCCTGAAAATTAAAAATAAGAATGCTTTCCAATAATTAAACTCCCACAAAAACCTCACCGCAAACCCCGTCACAAAACCCCTTTTCACCAAGGCAAAAACCCAGACTCAGAGAGAATGAGTTCACTGCTCAAGGTCACGCAGCCAGCAAGTACCGGAGCTGGGACTTGAACCTGGATACGTCTGGCTCCATGTCCCATGTTCTCATTGACTTGTTTTTCAAGTGTCAGGATGAAGCTGTGCATCTCAAGCCAGAGCAGATCTTCACCTTGCTGGGTAGAGTTACTAGCCTGTGGTGGCTTCAGTCCCCCTGGGAGCAGCACTGAAGAGGGGTCTTAAAGTTCAGAAGAATTTAATTTCCGTCATGAAAGAGTTTGGAGGTGGGGCAGGAGGGGCCAAATCAAAAGCTGGCGTTTGAGAAGGCAGAAACCCAAAAACGCAGCTCCCTTGCTGGGCCCCAGGGATCTGCTTTCAGAACATTGTGTTTCCTAAGCTGACATGAACGAGGGGCTTTGTTTAAGGGAGAGATCAGATCTCAGGGCCTGAGGCGGAGGGAAAGGATGAGGAGTTGGAACTTTTCTTCTGTGATCTAAAAATCTCAGAGGAGGCCAAAAACAATCAGCAAGGCTTCCCCAGGGGAGCCGGGAGAGCTTGGCACGACCTTGGTGACATCTTGGTCCCCAAGGAAATTCAGGGTGGAGCCTGGGGTGTCCCACAAGGGATGTCACACCCAGAACCTGCAGAACTCAGCCAAAAACAGGGCAATGATACTGTTTGGGGGGACCACCCAGGGTTTTTCCTTATGCACCTGAGTTTTGGAAACACTTTGGGGTCATTTTGGGGTGTGTGATGTGGTAAATGTTCAGGGCAAACGTACGATGTAGAAAAGCCCCCCTTGGTACACTCTTCCCTGGCTCTTCCCAGGACTGGCTCCTTCAGGTCTCAGCTCAGAGAGAAGCCTTCGCTGACCCCTCCAGTTAAAGTACCCCCATCTTGGTCCCCAGTCCCGCATTTGCTTCACAGAACTTACCACCATTTGAAATTAACTTCTTTGGTTATTTCTTTAACTGTTTCATCTCTGGCTTTCCCATCCAGCATGTCAGCTCCATGAGGGCAGGGACCTTACCCATCTGCTTAGCACAGGTTTAACATATAGTAGGCATGCGTGAACCCATAGCTACCGTACAGGAACTCACTCCTTCATTGCACAAATATTTCCATCCACTTCTGTGCCAGTGCTGCCTCAGGCCTGGGGTACAGAGGAGACAAAGCCCAGCCCAGGGCCACTGTCAGTCTGCTCAGGGAGACAGACAGTACAGACCTCAGTGAATGACTTACTGACAGAAATTAGAAAGAGATGCCCTTCCTCACACACCCTCACCATCAGCTCCCAGAAAGTCATAAAATCAACTGTGCTATCTACCATGACTCTGGTTGCGTGCCAGCATGGAGATGTTCCCAAGGACTAGCTGCCTCCTTCCTGAGGCCTTAGTACCCTCCCTGCCATAAGCCCTCTACCCCAAAAAGCCCTGGAGCAGAGGAAGAAAAAGCAAAATCTCAAAATGATGGAGATGTAGTTTCTGCCAGCCAGCACTTAAATTCCATGAAGTGATCAAGAAGAAACTTCTTGATCTTCAGGGAGGGGTGTTTCAGGAGCTCCTGCCCCCAGGAGCTGGCATCCTTGAGAAGAACAAGTCTGACCCATGGCTTGGCCCTCTCAGACCCCAGTCAGGG